AAGATTCAGCGTCCAGGGCGGCGGGGCTTAGGATGTTAGGACCCAGGTTTCGGAAAGAGGGCTTAGCATGCAAAAGGGGCATGGGCAGCCTTTCAACATGTGCTGGGCGAATATGCCAGCTATCTGGAAACAACATGGGGAAAAAACATCCTTTTTGGCATAGGGCTGAGAGTAGTTAGGTTGTTCTGGTTGTGGGTTCGAACTGGTTCAAGCTCTCAAGGCGTCTCTATGCCTCTATGCACTGCCAACTTCTCCAAATTTTGGAGTGCGCAAAGGGTGTCTCACCTCTCTTGACATACTCTGCCGGATCTGACGGGTGTAGCTTTCGACTGAAGATTGTGCCTAGCGAGTCCTCGACTGCCAGGTAGGTAACGTACCAGAATCGGGAAACGCATCCAAATCTTTGTTGTGGCTTTGGAAGCCGTAAACCCTTGAACACCCAGACCTTCTGGGGAACTCTCATTGGAGCCCAACATGCCGCAGCGCCCTCAAGCTTCAAAGCCCTGAGGAGTCGCTTCTGCGATCTTCTCCTTGGAAGTCGCTGTTGTTGGTGTGGCACCTGAACCAATAAGAGAAGCTAGGATCAGAATCGTGTCATGTGATAGCTATAGGCTTCTGATTTGCTGGGTTGGGGCTCCCAATCCCCCTTTTCCTCTACCATGAACCACAGAGGCCCGCGTTCAGGCTAAGTCAGCGTGGTAAGATTCTCTATGCTGTTGAGACAATAGCCGAACGGCTCAACTCATTGGGCAAGCGGCGGGCATAAGAACTTTGAGGAAGATTCCTACCGACATTCGTTCTGATATGGTCAAGCGGTGTGCATGTGCGTGGGAGTTTGGCCCCAACATTAGGACGTGGAGCCACTCACCCGCACTAATGCTCCCCAATGAAAACCATATCTATACTCTGAAGAAAATGGAAACACTAGCCGCGTCCACCGCAAGGAACAACCTTGAACACAATGCGAGCAGGGCTGTGCTTTTGACCTTTGCTATCTGGAAGTTCATAGTTCATAATTGTGCTACATTGTCACGCCCATGTCAAACCTGAGATAGGTTTGTCGGGGACCCTGGTCGTTGTCACAGTCTACAGTATTGTAAGACGCCTTTGTCACGAGTGCGGCCTATGCCCCACAAAAAACTTGTGGCAAAAGGGCTTCTTCCAAGCCCGCACGTTACAAACCGTTGTCAGGAAACACGAATGGACCCACGCCACTTCTTTTCACTCACAGCGACATACATGAATTTGACAACCAAAAAATCACCAAAACACGTAAACCTCCTCCCGCTACCCCGGCTGTTGGTGCGACTCCTGCTACCACCACCGCTGCTGCACCGCTGCTTCCACAGCTGCCAGTGCCCACCCGCCGCCACCGCCTCCTCCTCTTGTCTTTTCTGTTTTAACCGTAACCTTACTAGTAACCAGTAGCAGGAGCCTCTTTGGTGCCGGCTGCGCAGGAAAACGGCGCCGGCTGCAATGCTTGCCAGGCCGAAGGAAGGTCTGGTCTAGGGTTCCAGGATTCAGTGATTCTTAGTATTACTCTTGTTATTATTATTATTATTAGTATTGTCATTACTACTGTTGTTGCTATTACTACTGTTAGTATTGCTCTGCATTAGGGTTCAAGGCTCTTGAGGTTAAGCTAGGGATTCCAGGACAGAGTGGCTCTGAGGTGTGAAGGGTCGAGAGCTTAAGGACTAATTATAGAGTTCTAGGGACTAAGGTGTAGGGCTAAGGTACGGCGTAGCATTTACGACCTAGGGCTCACGGCTTGGGGGTCTAAGATTGAAAGCTTAGAGTTCGCGGTTTCAGTACCAAGTTCCAGGAATGAAGGGCTAGTGGAGGCTCAGGACACCCAGTAAGTAGCCAGCCCTACTTGGGAAACACGATGCCATAAGAGGACTCCGACGTAAAAAGGGATTACGTAGCCTTTAGGATACTGCAAGATGATTTTCAAGCCCAGAAAATGTGCAGTTGGGGTAGGTGCACTTATCAGCCCAGCGTTCATTGGCAACAAGACGTAGGGGCATGTGCAATTGGAATAGGTCTTGGGGCATGTATTGCTATACTCATGGGCGGGTATTACGGGACGATAGTGCCAACTATTGAGAACCACCATGAGGGGGTTAAGTTTTGGGGCGCCTACAATGAGGGCTCTACTGTGTTTGCGGGCATATATGGGGACCTCTGATTGTTGGAAGCTCCCAGGTGTCAATGCCAGGGTACACCTCCCAAATCTATTTCAACAAAATGCTTGCCTGACGATCCAAAAACCTGCCAAGAATCAGTCATACTAGCCATCGTCAGGATGACCCTTGACAAGTTCCGACTTAGGTAGATATAAATGATCCATGATGTTTGCAAGTGTAAAGTCATCAGGTGAGCACTTTTACATGAAATTTTTTCTAAGGCTTATAGTATGGGATGTATTATGGGGAGAACGGGAAGTATAAGTGTTATGTAGCTTACATAAGGCAAATTGCTCACATTAACACTTTGCACAAATGATGGATACCCTGCGGTTCCGAATGCCAAATCTTTAAAGCAACTGAAAACCATCCAAAGTATAGTAATTGGTGTCTGAAGCCACTTCCATTATTGCGGTACAACGCCCTTCGGGCCAGGCAAAGGCGGGGGCTCAAGGTGCCCGGTGCCCTGCTATATGGGTGGTTGTCAAAATTATGTATAATACGGCACCTAATATTCAGGGTACCTAAAAAGGGGCCATGATTTTGACAAGCACCCATATGATGATGAACCAAGTAAGATTGCATTCGGGCCCCTGTGAAGAAGCTACACAGGTATGTCTAGGAATATGTACAGGTACAGTATCATGAGTTCTACATGAGTTCTTTTGGCTGTTGAGTCGCTCATAAGATTACATTCTTCCGACTTCCGTGAAATTCTATCAAACTGTTCAATTCAGATGATCCCTTACAGCCGGGTATGAACCCCAAATCACGCAGGAACACATGTTGCCAGAATGTAGCCGTTTTCTGTTGTATGACCCTGATATAGCTGTACTAATGGCATCGAAGTTTCTAATTATTTACTTCGAGCATCCCCACCCTAAAGCCGTTATTGCACAAGAAGTGCAACTTTTCCCTGCACCCCCCTCAACTGTCTTCCTTGCAGCGCTGCAAATGCCCTGCAAGAATATTGATACTTTGCTGTTGGGCACTCCAGGGAAACTCTGCGCTTGGGCACTGCAGGGATAATTGCTGGCTGGACACTGCAGGGATACTCTGCAGTTGGGCACTGCAGGGATACTTTGCGGTTGGGCACTGCAGGGATAGTCTGCGGTTGGGCACTGCAGGGATACTTTGGGCATTGCAGGGATACTCTGCGGTTGGGCACATCCGTTAAGCA